GGGGGGGGGTTCTGAGGGTTCGAACATTTTTATACAGGGGGAAGGGCCAGTTCTGGTCCGTTGGATCTAGGCACGATTAACGGCTCAGATCAAAACTTAACGAAATTACGTCGTTTGGTTTGGGGGAAAACCGGACCGGGTTGGACGCGTGTTTTGGCCGGGTAAAGGGTATTTTGGACGGGTCTCAGGGCAGAAGGTTTGGGCTTATGGAATTTGCATGGATTTGGCCCAAAACTGATTTTTTCCTTTTTCTTTTCATTCTTTCCAAATTAATTCTTTTATTTTCAAACTCTTTTAATTAAAAAATTTCAAATAAATAAAATAAAACCCAAACTAAATCCTAAATCAAATTAACACTACCACATTGAATTAATTAACTCTAATAATTACCACAATTAGTTAAAACCAAATTAAAGGAAAAACCACCAAAGTTCAAAAATTAAAATTAAAAGTGCAAAAATAACTATTTTGTGATTTTCCAATTCATATAAAATAACTAATTTACTACTTAATTCAAGAGTGCAAAGTTAAATTCCAAATGCAAATGCAACATATTTTTATATTTTCATTAATTAAATAGAGTAAACATGCACAGACAAATGCAAACAATTAACAAAAAATGCCACAAAATTGCAAACAATGGAAAAAATTATTTTATTTTGAATTTGTAGGTGTAATACATATAGGGCAAAAATCACGTGCTCACACCAGGTTCAATGTTTTCATATGTGACTCAATACTTTGCAATTAACCTCGGGCTAGAATCGGAATAGTTTAGTGAGCCATTCCTAGTATCTACGCTAGTTGGCGAGTCAGTGAGAGTCACAAGAGTCTATAGGGGTGGTATAGTTTCAATCCAAGGTCGCAGCACCGAGGACGACCTCATAGAGTTAGAAATGGTAGATTTCGATGTGATCATGGGTATGGATTGGTTGTTTTCCTACTATGCCATGTTAGATTGTTGTGCCAGGATTGTCATGTTCCAATTTCCAAATGAAGAAGTCTTAGAGTGGAAAGGTAGTTCAACATCGCTTGTAGGTAAGTTTATTTCGTACCTTAAGGCACAACGAATGATCAGTAAGGGGTGTCTCGCCTATTTGGCTCACATCATTAATCCAGAATCAGAACCACCAGCTCTTCAGTCTGTGCTAGTTGTTAGAGAATTCCCAGATGACCTTCCCGAACTTTCTCCTAAAAGAATCATAGACTTTGGCATCGATCTCATGCCAGGCACTCAGCCGATATCTATACTGTTACAACCCATATCCACATGTGTTAGTTCATGCCATATATTAGTTAACATAAATCCAAGAAGGAATTATCTTTGAGATGATAAGAAGTCAATCCTATTGGTCTTAAGTGATACAAGAGTGTATAAGGGTGATTAACCAGTATTAGAAGTTAAACGAATCAAGGATGTTGTAACTCGTATTTTCAGGTAATCTAGCGGTGCTTAATACACTCAAGAGGTCATTTATTAAGGTATTTTAATCATA